TTATAAATATTTCCAAATTACCATTTCCATAAGTTGTATTATACCTCCTATGACCAATAGATAAATATATCTTCTCCCTCAACTCCTCACCATGAAATTTTATTGAACTTTGGGTCTCTGACAAGATATTAAATGAACTGGTTTTTAATGTAGTCTTGATTTAAATTTTAATTAAATGTGTGAGATGGTCTTTTCATGTTTGTGAGTATTCTTATTAAAAAAAATGGGGTCAAACTGCCAATACTATTTTGTGAATTTTTTTCCATTTTAGCCATGTTTAATGAACATCTTTTCATATTTTACAGTATTTTTCTACAAATGGAAAGTTGCATGGCTTTTTTCTATTCCATATATAGTAATCCCATATCATACATTCATGTTGTTTCCAATATTTTTACTTCTAGAATAATTCTGAGATAATTATGAAGATAAAATCTTTGTGCACAGCTGGAATAGAAATGAAGTTTGGTTTTTGTATGTAGACTTTGAAGTTAAATTAATAAGTAAATAGAGTAATATTAGTACCCCACGTTTTAAACCTCCTGTTTACTCTACAAAACATGCTTGCCACTGATTTTAAGAAATCTGCTTTTCAGGAGTTGAAGTTGAACTGATTTTTTTCTATATGACACTCAAATTTTCCTTGAATAAAACTTATTTGTTACTGAAGTCAGTTCCTATTTTTCTCCCGCCATTGCCTTTGAGATAAAATTCTTGGCTCTGTTTTAGAAGAGAAATAATGCTTGGCATTTTAAACTGAGCTTCACTGAGGAAGCCTGAGGCAAAACAATGCCCACCACTATCAAGAATGCTGAGATATCTGGACAGCAGGTATCTTGCTCTTATTGCTCAGGATAATGCACAACAAGAAGAAGATATTTCCAAGTGCCCACTGCTCTCATGTTATAGGTCTGAGTGGGTGGTACTGCCGTGGTAGAGTGGTAGACAACATACTTTTGGATAGTTAAGAGTCATACATCTTTTAACATATATGTTATATTCGTTTGTAGGATTCAGCAGAATAACAGCAACCAACACATAATGAATGCTTGAAATTCATTAACTCATTTAATTTTTTCAGCAGAAATAGGAGAACTAACAGGATAGGGCATGGGACATTTTAATAGACAGTTATTTCTTCAATAACTGTAACAATCTACTCTAAATTTCAGTGCCTTATAAGAGCAAACATTTAGTTTTGCTTTGCTTATGAACCTACATTTGTCTAGGGTTCTGCCATGCTTTCCTACCACCAGCTGAGCTTCAATCAGACCTATATATTAAGTCCAGATTTATCCCACATTTCTCTCATCTCTACTTCAAACATCATCCAGTTGCAAAATATTCTTCTTGCAAAGAAGGGCAGAAATGAAGGCGGCAAACCAAACTGTGTGAGTAGTTTTAAGGCCTCTATCAACATTTTAATGGGCAAAGTGAGTTTGTCAGAGACTCGGTCTGATAGCAATAAGGCAGAGTTATGTTTGCCCTATGAGGGAAGATAAATATAAAATTATGTGTGTAATTCTACCACAGGAAAATGACAAATTGGAACTAACAATCTACTCTACCACTGCTACCCTTTATAAAATGGTAATTGACAAATCTCAAAATTATCACATAGACAATTGTGGACTCATTTTTATTTCTCTGTCTTTTTATTTTTTAATTTATTTTTTAAGTATTTACACAATTTTTATTGCTGTTTATCATATAACAAAAAATTTTAAATGATTTGTAGAATCCATCCAGTAACATATGAAATTGAAATGCAATACTCAAGATACTGTTTATGACTGAATGTACCTGATGCTCAGCGTACAGGATGTGTAAAGAAGTCCTTGCCTGTCATTTGGTTCTTGCTGCTGTCATCTATGTTCATCTCTCAGAAAGCAAAAGAATCCATCTGATGGTTTCAATAAATATCAAATTCTCCCCCCCCCCAAAAAAAATAGCTTCTATAGACCAGAGATCCAAGAAAAAGTAGTTCTTTTTTTTTAAATTTTATTTAAAAGGAAAAAGAGAAAAACACAAAACAAAACAAAGCGATAAGGGTACACGTAATACAGAACTACAAAAAAAAAAAGTAAGAAATCACCTGTTAATAGATTACATATTATCATCTTAGAAATAGTTGCTCAAATCACAGTATCAAAGAATACAAAGTGGACATTCAAACAGTGAGACTGCAAACAGCTGTGTTCAATGATCCAAAAACATTAACATAGTCAGCTATTTAACACCCCTAAACACACTTGCTGTTATATCCGTTAGAGCTCTTTTTTTTCCCCTCTCTTTTTTACAACAAAATTTACACATTTTGGATTTTATTACTCCTTAGTTCTTATTACTTTTTTGGAGGGGAGAGAATAAAGTCAAATATGGCAAAACAAAGCTGTCAGTCAAAACCAAGGGTAGACATAGCACATGACGTAAAACAGAGTATAGGGTTATCAACAATGGTTATCAATGATGTCTCTTGTTTCCTTAAAAAGAATTGTCTATCTCATTAGATATTATAAAGTTGAACAAAACAGTAGAGAACAAGACCAATAAAACTTAGGCATTGTAAACATTACAGGACTTCCAAAGGAGACAATAGTCAAACCAGAATGGGCATCTTAGTGAATCTTATTGCCTTCAAAGTAGTTGCCTATACCCTCAAACTTGATACTATCATACAGAATGGAACAGAGTGTAATCAGTCAAAACAAGATCATGGGAGTATTACAGGACTTCAAAACAAGTTAATAGGAAATCAAAAAAAGTTACTATTATATATCCTGCTAATTTTTAAAATTTTTCCCCTTAATTAAAACAAACATAAGAAATAACTAAATAATTTTTTTAAAGAATAAGGGAGAGACAGAGATAAAACAGGACATAACAATATAACAATACAGGTCAAAGCAGGACTGTTTCAGCAACCTAGTGCTTCACCACCAAATAACCTGACTTAATAGTAGTTACCATAGTGTCTGTCTTCTTCCTTGAAATATTTGGATAAAACTTCATATACTATAGCTTCAAATATTTCCATATCAAGAAGCGCAGAATAAAGCCTTTCCAATTAATAAGTGAAAACTTTATAAGGTTTCAAGGCTGCATAATGGGGAATCATGATTACCACATATTTTTATATATTTGAATCATTACTTACATTAGGGAAACTATTCACACATGCAAGATTGATTTATTTCACTTATGAGTATGGTCTCAAGCTGCGCCCATTTATTGATAAATATCTCAATGTGATCCTTCTTTATAGCTGAATAATATTGGAAGTACTAGCCAGAGCAATTAGGCAAGAAAGAGAAATAAAAGGGGTAAAGATAGGAAAAGAAGAAGTTAAATTACCATTGTTTGCAGATGACATGATACTCTACATAGAAGACCCCCTAAACTCCATTGAAAGACTCTTAGATACAATAAATAAATTCAGTAATGTGGCTGGATACAAAATCAATACTCAGAAATCAATAGCATTCCTATACACGAACAACAAAATCACAGAGAGGGAAATAAGAGAAACTGGACTATTCACATTAGCAAGCAAAAAAATGAAATATTTAGGAATTACTCTTACGAAAGAAGTGAAAGACTTATACAGTGAAAATTATAATACACTGAAAAAGGAAATTGAGGATGATCTCAGAAAATGGAAAGACATCCCTTGCTCATGGATAGGAAGAACAAACATTGTGAAGATAGCCATTCTCCCAAAACTGCTATACAGATTCAATGCAATCCCAATAGAAATACCATCAACATACCTTATAGATATAGAGAAATCACTCCTAAATTTCATCTGGAACTAGAAGAGACCTAGAATCGCAAAGGCAATTCTAAACAGCAAAGACAAAGCAGGAGGCATCACAATCCCTGACTTGAAGTTATACTACAAAGCAACAGTAGTAAAATCAACATGGTATTGGAATCAAAATAGAGCCGAAGATCAATGGAATAGATTAGAAGATACAACCACAACTACAAACACACTCAACCACCTTATCTTTGATAAAGGAGCCAAGCAGGTTCATTGGAAGAACGACAGTCTCTTTAATAAATGGTGCTGGAAAAACTGGCTCTCCATTTGCCGAAAACTAAAGCTAGACCCATGTCTATCACCATGTACTAAATTAAAATGTAAATGGGTCAAAGATCTGAATATTAAAACAGAAACACTAAATCTATTGGAGGACAAATTGGGTAGAAACCTTGGAGACATAGGAGTAGGTAGAGAATTCATGAACAGGACTCAAACCGCACAGGAAATACTTCCCAGAATCAATAACTGGGACCACTTCTTATTAAAAAGTTTCTGCATGTCAAAAGAAATCTCCAGCATAGTGAAAAGAAAACCCACAAACTGGGAAAAGATTTTAGTGAACTCTCTCTCAGACAAGGGACTCTTGTCTAAAACATATAAAGAATTAAAAAAACTCAGACCTCCAAAATTCAAAGATCCAATCCAAAAATGGGCATCTGAGATGAATACGCAATTCTCAGATGAAGAAATGCAAATGGCAAATAAATACATGAAAAAATGTTCATCATCATTGGTCATTATAGAAATGCAAATTAAAACCACACTGAGATACCATCTCACTCCTGAAAGAATGGCCAGGATCAAGAAAACCACAACAACAAATGCTGGAGAGGCTGTGGGGAAAAAGGAACTCTCCTGCACTGTTAGTGGGAGTGTAGACTGGTACAGCCTTTGTGGAGGTCTGTCTGGAGATTTCTCAAAAAGTTGGGATTGGAAATACCATTTATTCCAGCTATTCCACTTCTAGGCATATTCCCAAAAGAACTGAAAGCATCATACCACAGTGATATATGTGCACCTATGTTTATAGCAGCACAATTTGTAATTGCCAGATCTTGGAAACAACCCAAGTGTCCATCAACTGAGGAATGGATAAAAAAGTTGTGGTATTTCTATACAATGGAGTATTATTCAGCTATAAAGAAGGATCACATTGAAATATTTATCGAAAAAGTAGTTCTGATGAATGATTCCCAGAATCAAGTGCATCCTTCTTTAGTCCAGTGAGATGATGTCAGGAATGCTACTTCCACTGCTGGTTATGACCCCTGTCTCACTCCTGCTTCTGGATGAACTAACATGAGTACTACTTTCATGGGGGCTGGTGGTGGTGACAGACATACTGCTTGCTGTTAAGGGTGAGGTGAGACTATCCAAAAACATAGGAGGACAGTACTGGGGATCAACTGGAATAAGGGAAAGAAAATCCAAACCTGGCAAATCTGATGACATGCTTGATATTGGCATGTGGTGGAATGGCACGGAGTAGTCTGTTAATGAAGGCCGAATAGCAGCAGGATCAACTGAAGTCACACTGGGCACCCTTACAGAAGATGGCTGATACATGAGAACCCCTTTGGTTGGGCTGCTTTGTGTTTCTGACATAAAGATGCATTTCCTTTTGGCAGGAGCGTCTTCCTCCTCATCAGAAGAGCTTTCTATTGTTAGATCAATAATGTCCACTTTCTTCTTGCTTGCTTCATTGGCTACAGTAACAGAACAAGGCTTACTGGGCTGAACTTTCTATTTTTGTACATGGTTGGCTGGATACTTTCATGGCTTCTTTCTTCGGCCTCATTGGACACCAAGAAACATCTTCTTGGAATTTGATTTCATCCACATCAGAACAGTCACTGAGAATTTCCATAAAAAGCCCATCTAATATTAGACTTTCATAGGCAGCTTTTTTGTCACACACAGGACAAATCCAAGTGGGCTTCTTTTCATTCATTTGTAGATAAAGGGCAGCATCAAAACACTGCAGATGTGTACATGTCACTGCACGGCATGGGATTGTTAGTCTCATTTTTCCTAGAGGACACGTTAAAGACACCCGAAGACTTGTAGCAATTTCACTATCAGGAAGTTTTTCTTTAATTAGTGCTCTGGAATGATCAGGGTTTCTAATACCTTTCATTTTTAATCTCTGTAATAGCATGGCTTGATGTCAGGTGTCGTATGAGATATACAGACATGGAATAATTCTTTCCAATTTCGGACGCCCAAGACATAGAAATCTGATTTGGCACGGCTGAAGACAACCTAACTAAAGATGTAATATTCAAGGGCCGTCCAGGGCGCTTCTGTTCAATTCCATTTTTAGGTGGTGGTGCATAGCCAGGCAAAGGAAACAACTTCCCATTTACTTTTATACATAGACTATTAGGATAGTTACCTTCTTGAGGACAACTAGTCTCTGCCAGGCAAAGTCTCAGCTGAACTTGAACTGTATAATCGCTCTGACCACCTGGCAAAAAGTCCCTTGATATGCATATCTCTCTAATTTGTTGAGGTGTTAAAGCAAAAATAAAAAACTTCTCTTGAAATCGCTGAATACTGCTTTGAACTAAACTGGTGGGCTTGATGAGGACATCAAGGACATCATAAAAAGGCAGGTATTTTAACTGCACATCAGGATGGACAGGAGGAATTGGAGGAGATGGTTGCTGCATCTCAAAAGCGGGCTTAGTATCTTGAAGTAGCACAGAACCAACAGGAGAGGTCGGTGAGTGAGATGAAACTGAAGTGGAAGGTAACGAACGGATTCCAGCCACAGCCAAGTCTGGTTCTACAGGTGATGAGCTACCATCCAAACCGAAAACTGATGATTTGATTGTAGGTAAATCAGAAAGCCCTTCAAGAGTCCGTGGATATCGGCGTCTATATAATTCTCAGATTTTAATCTGAACCACAGGGCTGCAGCCACTCTTCAATAAATGCAGGGCCCTCATCAGGAGGTCATGCTTGCGTCCACTTTTATTCCGTCCAGCAAAGCCTAGTAACACTCGTAGTTCAGAAACTCTAAAACTAGAAACCATATTCCTCAACTCTTCGAAATCCGCCACTTTATACCCCCCACGGGCACTGCTGCGGGCACCGCTGCTTCCAGCACCATCCTGCACTGGGAGCCGCTGAAGACGCCGCGGCCACCCTTCTCTGTCTTTTTAAAAAATACTGTTTGAAGTCCAACTGGGCTAAAAGTTTCACAAAAGATCTTTTCAATTGGATAGATGTTTTAATTTGAGAGATTCAGTTAAGACTTCGAGAATATTCAAATATTTGAAAGAACAGGCCTATTCATAAACTGATTGTCATCTACTCAGGAAGGAAATAAGGCATTTATAGAAATGATTTCATAGATAGATACAAGATAGTAAGTGCCCAAAGACCAATATAAAATAATGGGTTAGATGACTTAACTATGTAATATTAGAAGTTTCTTTTTTTAAATCTCTGTTACTAAATTAATCAATAAATATAGAGGAACTTGTCTAATACCTAAATTTATTTTCAAGAGATACTACGTATGCACTTTCTATAATGCAGATTTTATAAGAAGGCTATAGGAGCTCCACAGTTTTGGAAAAGTATATTTAACTTTCTGTCTTTCTACAAATGGGAAGTTTGGAGTATCAATTTGAAAATAAAAAATGTCTGCTACTATGAGGAAACATACCAGTAAAAATTTAAGACAATGAGACTCTTTGTTGAGATATTTAAAAATTCATTTAGTCACTGAGTTAAAAAATGTTAAGTTAAAGAAACAATAATATAGCATTCTGAAAATAGTTTATCATTATTTTGGTTCACTTCTAAACTGGACAAACTCATTCATGTGTGAATGTAGGATGCCATTTTTAATTATCACTTTTGAAATAAAAAATTATAACTTTTATTTTAAAGAGGGTAAGATTAAACATAAAACATAACAAAACAGATCATAAGGAAATAATTTTGAGAAACATAGATTTCAAAGCAAGTCCACTGGAGATCTTCACTGCCTATCATATTGTTTCTAGTTTTCTTCCAAATGGTTGTCCCTATCTTCACACATATTGAATACATACTGAACAATATAGAATTAACCTAATCATAACAGGATGCTAAAGTCAATAATTACTGCCATAATGTCTCTCATTCTCTTCAAAGTAGCTGTCCATATCTTTATAGATGATGAAATTAAACATAAGATAATAGACTAATATCACTCTGAACAGTGAATAATAGTAATAATAGATTTTACATCATAATTCTACAGAATTAGCACTGGTCTTTTCTTAGCATCTTTTCTTCTTCAGAGTATCTGTTCATTACATTGTGCATCATATAATCTGTTCCCATAAACTGTTTAGAAATTCTCCACATGTGTGAATCTCTACATGTATATCTATCCTTTCTGTATTATAAGAAAAAATGGATCAAAACAAGACAACAAAACAAATTCCTAGAAAAACATGAAATGAAAAAGACATTTAAAACTACAATATTAAGTGATCCACAGTAGTTACTATGCTTTCTCTTGTTATTTTCAATAGAATTGTCCTCATCATCAGACATAATATAATTGAACATAGCATTACATAGCAATTTTAATAAAAATACAACATTGGAGACATTGTAAGACTTCAAAGGCCATTAATAATAAACCAGAATGGGTATCTTATTAATCTTGTCATCTTCAGAGTAGTTGCCTCTACTCTTAGGCTTGATACTATCAAGCATACCAAATTTGAATAAAATCAGTCAAGACAAAACAGCGGTCTAACAAACCAGCTTCAAATAAGATCAGTCATAGTAAGACAATGTAAGTAATACAGGGCTTCAGTTTAAGTTAATAGGAAATTAAAGATAGTTACCATAGTATAGCTGCTATTTTTGGTATAGCTGTCTGTGCCCTCAAATCTAGTATGAGTAGATAGACTGGAACAAAATAAAATCAAACTAAACAGAGCGATAAGACTACTGTGGCTTTTAAATCCTGATACACTATTAGCAATGTCTTCTGCCTTCCTTTTTTAGACAGTTCCTCACTTTTCCCTTTCTCAGGGTGCTTTGTATATATCGGGTCCCTCTAGTCCCTTTAGTTTTTAGATTAAGGGGTCAACTTGTTATCTATCTGAGTGGTGCTGAACCTTTTTACACCTGAGCTTGATCTTGAGCTGTATTCCTGCACTAACTAAAGCCACAAGGTTTTCCTTCCTTCTAGCTGAGTAGTTCTTCACTGCACAAAAGTGTCATGACTTTCCAACCTATTTGCAGCTGCTGGATGAGTTGTCCCTATTTCTCTCTGGTTTCCTGTCACACAGAGCATTGTTTTCTCATCTTTGACTTTCAGTTTATTAACCTTCTTTCGGGTTGAATATATTTCCTATTCTGAGCATCTCGATGGGTCCTGCCTCCTAATGTACTCTGTCTGTGTTTCTTTTTGTTAGTGTATCAAGGCTATCTATTTTAGAGACTATAGCCCACCTTTTCTGCCTCATCTCTGCTATTCTATTTTTCTGCTATTATTTGTCCATTTTTCTCCTTCATTCCACTGTCTGCCCCATTCGTTGAGGTCTCTCTGCCACTGTTGCTGGAATCCTGGTATTTTTTTCTCTCTCTCTAGAATGTCCTTCAGTATTTTTTGTAGGGTATAATTGGTGGCCATGAACTCCCACAGTTCCTCCTTGTCTTGGAAACATCTTATTTATTTATTAATTTTGAGAGAGAGTTTTTCAGGGTACATTAATCTGGGTTGGAGGTTATTTTCTTTCAGGGTTTGGACTATTTCCCCCAGGCTCTTCTTGATTTGATAGTTTGTGTTGAGAAATCTGTCATTTTTTTGATGAATTTTCCTTTATCGGTGATCTGTTTCTTTTCTCTGATCGCTTTTAATATTCTGTTCTTGTGGTAGATTTCCGGGATCTTGATTATTATATGTCTCCGGGTGTAGATCTGTTTTGGTTGTAGCTGACTGGAGTTCTGTATGCCTCATTTATCTGAATATCATTTCTTTTTCCTATGCTTGGGAAGTTTTCCTTAGTTATTTCTGTGAATAGCCTTTGTAATTCATTGTGGTTATTCTTGCTTCTTTGCTCATGTTTTTTATTCTTAAGTTATAGAGACTCTTGTCATCTTCTAGCCTTTGAATTGTTACTTCCTGGTTCCTTGTTATTTTTAAGAGGTCTTTTCTCTCATTATCACACATTGCAAATCTATCTTCAAGTTTTGAAAGGTTAACTTTAGTTTCTGTCAAGGCATTTTGCCAGCTTTCAGTGGAGTTTTTCATTTCCTGGTAATCTCTTTGGATCTGTTTCATGTATTCTAGATTTTATTTATATTCTTCACCAAAGGTTTCTCTTCCTTTTCTGGGTACCTCCATTCTTCCATCTGTGTCTTGAGAGGGATTTAGCATTTCTTTTATTAATCTTTTTATATCTTGCCTCACTTGGGTTAGAATTTCAGTTTTAAATTCATCTATGAGGTCACAAAAGTATTTCTTTACATCTGCTGATGTTGTGGACAATATTGCATGATTGCTGCACTGGTTCTCTTCTGTATTTACCTCTCCTGGGCTTATTTTCCCAAGGTCAGCAGCTGGAGGTCTTTTCTTATTTTTTCTCTTGTCATGTTTCTGGTTTCTTTCAGACAGGTGTATAGTGGAGGTCCCAGGCCCTCTCCATGTTGCTTATGGTTTTTCTGAAGTGTGCTGGCTGGGAGCTTGCTGCCCCCTTCAGTTTGCTGTTATCTGAAGTGCATGCAGGGACTGTGGACTGGCCCTGCTCCTCTGAGCCAGTGAACTGGCAAGTACCTTCAGCAACTTAGGCTGTGCTGTGGCAGATGTTACGAGGTCGGGACAGTTTTGTCCCTGGTTATTGGGTCCTGACCAGGGGCATGGCATGACTCAGCCCAAGCTAATCTCACCAGTCCTCTCTGGGCCAGGGGCAGCTGACTGATGCCACCGCGGCGCCAGACTCTGACCAACTCCAATATGGTTTCCAGTTGGCCACACTTACCACAGGACCCAATCTCCAGCACTCACCAAGAATTAATACAGCTCTCCACTTTGGCTCCACTCCACGCTGCCTCGCGTCCTCCCGGCAAGGGCTCAGGACTCACCAACTCCCATTATCAGCAGCTGTGGCTTCAGTGTGACCGTGTTCGATTCCATGGCGCTCCCAGCACAGCGCAGGATGGGTCTAAGTGAGCATGTCCAACTCCAGCCCTCCACTTGCATCTTTCTTTCCTCTCCCTATTTTCTTTTTCCTCAGTTTCCTCCTGGGTTGCGAAAATCTCTCTCCCCTTGTCCAGCTCTCTGCATGTTGTCAAATTCCAGTGTCTGAGCTGTTTTTCCCAGAGAGGCTCTCTACCCACCTACCTATCAGGTCACCATCTTCTTGTCTCTCTCAAATTATAACTTCTGAAGGGAAAAATTTAACAATCTCACTTTTTATCACATTAATTTGACTTGAATTTTCTGAAAGATCGTTTGGTGGTGAAAAAATATCTCTTATGGTTGAGATTGAGTGAATTTTCACATTGTTTATTTCAGAAATAGATTTTTTAGTAGAAACATTATTTTACTTTTAAAGATATAGATGTTTGAAGTAATTTTTCTCAACAAATTGCTAAGATTTTTATAGCCTATGTGAGAGTAATAGAGAATGAAATTGGTAAGCAATGGTACCAGTAAACTCATTATAATGTAAAAGAATCTCATCATGGGAGGAAGATTCAGGGCGTATCTGGAGATTAACAGTTTCTACATCAGTTTGATATGTTCTAATGTGTTAATAAGGATGCAAAAACAACCTAAGTAGATGAAGACAATAATATAATTTAGGTTTTGATTAGGGAAGGCTGCAAGATACCTTGTCTGATAAGATACATTTTAAATTAAAGTTCACACATGTTTACTGGCTTATTCTTTCTATTATAAAATTTTTAATAACCGAGATATTTTGTAGTCACATGGAAATAGTTTAAAATTTAGTCTTCCAAGATATCAGTTTGGGTCTTAACTTTTCATTAATAAGATACTTTTCTACTCTATAAAGTATACTAATATAGTATCTATAAAGTATACTAATATAATATCATAAATAT